CATCTGTCTATCTATCTGTCTGTCTGTGTGTCTGTCTGTCTATCTATCTGTCTGTGTGTCTGTCTGTCTGTCTGTCTATCAATCTATCTGGCTGTCTGTCTATCCATCTGCCTATCTATCTGTCTGTCTGTGTGTCTGTCTGTGTATCTATCTATCTATCTGGCTGTCTGTCTATCCATCTGTCTATCTATCTGTCTGTCTGTGTGTCTGTCTGTGTATCTATCTATCTATCTATCTGTCTGTCTGTCTATCTATCTATCAATCTATCTGACTGTCTGTCTATCTATCTGTCTATCTATCTGTCTGTCTTTCTATCTATCAATCCATCTGTCTATCTATCTATCAATCAATCCATCTGCCTGTCTGTATCCCAGGGCTGCAGTTAGCAGGTGTTTTTGCCCCCACCCTCCGGAAATACGAGAAAGGGTTTCCCAAGTCTGATAGCAGGGCAGTGAAGTAGGAGAAACAGAGGCAGGAGCTGAAGCCCATGATATTGGCAGAAGCTAAATCAGCATGGACCAGGCTAGGACACAGACCAAAATCCCGGTGAAGCTAACCCTAACCCTAACCCTAACCCTATCCCTAACCCAATCCCCGTAACATACAGCACCTCCCATGACTGGTCGGTATGCCAGGGCTCGGTCCATGTGTGAAGGCTGGGAACAGCAAAACAGAAGTTTGAAAGCGAAAAACAGATCAAACTAATAATTGTTATTACTGTAAGAAGCTTTTTGCAGTTTGTAGCTGAAATATTCATCAAATATTCTTCTGGTCGGGCTTCCATCAAGGACGCAGCAGCGTAACAAGCCCACGTGTGAGATGGTGCCCACGTTAGCAGACCGTGGCGGGGCCTCGCCGGGAATGTCGCATACGTGCTGTCTGGGAAGATGCCTGCGCCTGCATTACCTCATTGGGGAAACGTGCACCCCCCCCCCCCCCCCCCAGCCCCCAACCACACACACCCCTCCATTCATCTCCTGAGGGATGAATCATGTTTTGTTCATCTTGACACAATAAAAACCATCAAATTAGACCAGGGTCCCGGCTGCCGCTCTGCTTCTGCTGCCCCGGCCATTTCTACCCCTCCATCCTTTTCCCATCCCTCCATTTTCACTTTTCCACTCGGATCGCTGGAGGTCCCAGTGCCACAGTGACGTGTACCTCTATCTGCGATCCGGAAGTGAAAAACCGAGCCCCCCAGGTCTCAGTGACCCCAGCTGACGTCTTCTTCTGTGAAAGAAGTCCAGCGTGACCGGTGCTGCCCAGCCCAGACCCTCAGAACAGCGTCCTCCGTTTAAGCACCACATCCGCTACGTCCTCACATGAGAACACAGATTCCTCCATTACTTCCCCAGGGTGACACGCTAATAGGAAATTTAAGGGCATTAAAGATGAATTATGATTTCCTCTCTGTCCAGAAGACCTCCTGGCCCCTCAATGCTACAGAAAAATGACAGAAACACTTATCAAATCTTTCCACAGGAGGAGAGCTCTGGTTAACCGTCGGTGCTCGAGGTCTTGTTCCGAAAAAGCTGCTTGTGTAAGAAGCAGATTGTCACTTTCACAAAGGATATAAACAGGCCGGTTTTAAACTCAAGCAGCAGCAAAACATAAACATTATAATGACAATAAAAATAGGATATCTCTAACAGACAGGCACCGTTTGGTTGGTTTGGGTTTTTCTTGGCCTGAGCCGCTCTGCGTGAGATACAGGATTTCAGAGAAACATGGCGTAAGTAACAGGAGCCATCTGTAGGCGATAAGGGCTGTCGGTGTGCGGAATGGGGAACGGGCCCCACCGAAACCTGTATTTTAAAGTGGAAAAATAATAACGACAAAAAAAAACTTAGGTCCAAATTTGGTTCTACATTTCGAAAAATATATATATATTTACAAAACAATTCGACGACAATGAAATAGAGTAAAGTAACCAGACGTCATACTGAAAGGGAAAACATTTTAAGTGTTTATAAAATTCTCGCTGCAATTTGGTTAGCGGTAATAATATTTTGCTCCTGGCGTGCAAAGTGGTTAGAGACGCCAGGCAGACACGTGCTGGAAAGAGTGCTGGACTTCACGGGGTATTTTATTAAGGCAGAAATGCGAAGACGCGTCTAACAGTTTTACAAGTCGGACTCTGGGCACTGAGGCTTCAAAACCACGGCAAGAGTCCAGGTCTGCAGGAGAACCTCCATACCGCTGCTTCGTGGTTTTATTCCAAAAGGTAAATGAAGTTACCGACATTAAAATCCCACATTTAAAGAGACTGAGATAATCACTTCTTATCTATCAGTCAGCTGTGTTTTCACTCAGTTTACGGAAACAGAAAGCGGGAGGGATGCAAGGCACGAAGCTGCGACCGCCGCTTCCAATATCACCTGTCAGTCGGTGTAAAGTTATAAGAGATGCGTTCGGACAGGGATACTGGGGAACTGAGCGGATTTCAGAAAACCAGTCCCATGTACCGCTATTACTTAGTATAGAGGGTGGGGAAGAGGTACAATTTACCCAATAAGAGCATAAAGCAAATTTGAATTAATTAGGTAATGATCGCTTATTCAGCCCTCCAATATCCTTGCCTTACTGGCTACTTTTATCTCCAAAGGCTGGTAAATCTTAGGGTTAATTAATAACTTCGTAGTGGTGGGGGATGGTCTTCCACCTTCAGGGGCATCAGATCTAAATTGCATTTCCGTTTATTTTGACCGGAGATCATTTGCCTCTTCAGAGACGCCACAATGCACCAATTCCCCGCAATTAGTATTGTTCCCACCGCGGCTTAGAAGATAAGGACTGAGGTTCAGAGGGGAACATAAGAGGCGATTTAGTGTCGATTTGGTGGATGAAGTGCCGCTTAAACAATCCCCGAAGCAGCCGAGGCTCGCATGTTTATTTTATCTGTCGCTTAAGCCACAGGCCCGAAGTCAGACATCCGTCGCCTCTTGTTTTCTCTGTAAACACGGACCTAAACAGCTCTCGCGTATTAATGCTCACATGGGCCCTGCGGTGTTTTTAAGTGCTTTAGTCGTATCTGTAATCGATTATTAGCGGATAAGTACTTGACCGCTACTCGATTTATATCGATCGCGTAACAGAATAAAAACGATCGCCATACAAGTGTAGATTACCCAGATTTTAAAAGGAGCATTTTAAAGTGAGTGGAAGTGATATTACACATTAACATTAAAGGTACATGCAGTTGCAGATTGTCCCTAAATTCATGTGGCGAGCTCAGTCCGCCCCGGCAAAGCAGCAAAACGGTTTAGTGCTCTGTGCCTTTTCATGTCTGCCGTCTTTGTCGGCCACTAAACTTCGTGCATATTTAATTGACTGAACTTTTCTTCAGGGCAACCGAAATCCGTTCATTGAGAAAGGCATGCAGCTCCGGACCGCTTTTCATCGGCCTGTCAGAAGGCCCGTTAGTTCTGCTTCACGTCGATGGACATTGAAGAAGAAGAAGAAGAAGAAGAAGAAGAAGAAGAACAAGAAGAAGAACAAGAAGAAGAAGAGACAATATCTCTGTCTTTTTCAGCCATGTTTCTTTGGGTGTACCGGTGAAACTTTTTTTCTCTACGAATTTGATTTTCAAAAGCATAAATACGTTTTTATAGGATACTTATATAATTTATTGGCCATTGTGTGCTTGTTTAGGTCTTTGTAAGACCTTTCCCTTCTTATGCAATATTGATAGCCTATTGAACAAAAAAAAACTAGTTTAAAAATCATTAATAGTAAAACATAAATGGCATAAAAGTGACTTTACTTAAGCGCCATCATATTAAAACGGAAAAGAATTAATCCCGTTCAATATGGTTTCAGCGGCGCCTGTCAAATTATGGCGATTAAGCGGACTATAAAATAACCAGGGTTCATTGTAAATTAGGCTGTGTAAATATTTAATTAAATGTTCGTAATCCTCTGCAAACACTACTTCTCCTGATTTATTGCCATTTAAATAATAGCCCACGTAACATCATATTAGATGTTACGTGATGTTTTTTTCCTCAATTAATATTTAAAATCGAATTAGACTGTAATTAAAGATTATTTTAAACAAGCAATTATAGGCCCAAATATTAAAAGTGAGAATGAAGAGGTTTTTTAAAATTCTGATTTACATTTTTGAGGGCAATGGGAACCTGCTGTCGCTTTCGATTTATTTATCTATATATTTTAATTAGACGGAATTAAAACATTGTTATTTTTGGCGCGGAAAATAAACATTTTGACATGCCTGTTTTCTCTTGGGAGATTAATAAATTGTGCTACTGTTTAATTCTAATTCCACAGGGAGAGAAAGGCAGAATTTATATTTTCATTCCAGTCTGTCCTCCACATTCAATTATACACGATCAAATTAAACTTGGGTCCGTAAAAAATTCCCAACTTTAATGTTCTAATCACCTAAAAATTTCTGGTCGTATCCCCGGACGGCCGTGGCCGATGAGTTGAGAAGCTTGTGCTTAGATTACGGCTTTTTACTATCTCTTAAAGTTGGCCTTAGCGATTAGAAACAGTTTAAATGAATGCATCTGGCCCAAGACAGTTCCTTAATTCTCCTTTGGATTTTTAATAAGCCGTCGATGCTTATATGAATCCGCTATAAAATATACATCCGCCGGTGTAACGTTTTTAAATTCAGAATACTGTCACAACATCCTTGTTTCATATAAAATTAGTCATCGCTAGCAGTTTAAACAATCAAGAAAAAACAAGGGCTGGGGATATTTTCTGTGATGTCGGCTTCCGGAGAATTGTTTAATATGAAACAGCCAGCAAGAGGAACACAACAACAGACGTTTTTTTTTCGCAGCGGAAAAAAATATTTTAAACAAATTCACATATTTCGATTACCTAAATAATTCATTTTAAAGCTTACGGACTCCTCGGGGGTTTTTCTTGAAGTGTACACGGCCGGTATTTATGTAGTAATTCGTCATACTTGCACACTAGCAGCAAACATTACAAAAAAGATAGATTTGAGCGGAACGGTATGTCACCTGCAGTTTACGTGTCCGTCCAACAGGGACCACTGCTCAGCGTCAAAGCCGAATGGCTGCGCGGATCCCAGAGAAAGGCGCTTAAAACGACTACCAAATACATTAAAAAAAAAAAAAAAAAACAAGTATTAATACGAATAAAGAAAAATAAAAAGCGTCATTACTCATACGCCTAATAAAAATCTAGGCCTAACGTTAAAGAAAAGCAGAGATTCATGTAATATTCATGCTGTCCCGCACAGTTCGCTCCGGGCAGCTTTTCTGATGAAATACGACCGATGTCCTATTAGCCGCCGTCCGTCCTCCCGGGAAGCGCCGCTTTCAGCCCCGCTAATGCGAAATGTTCCCAGAGCCCCCAGCACACGGAAACCACACGCAGAAGATCTACAGTCACTGTTATTATCATGATTATTATCATGATTATTATTACTATTAGACAAAGAAGACGTCCTTTGCCGCTAAATAAGAATTATGAGGCTACATAAACCCCAGGTCATCCGGTAAGTTTGAAATTGAAACCCGCAAGAAATTAGCTGAAGCGAGAGATGTGAGATATTAAAAACCAATCACCAAATTCTGTGAATATATTAAGAACGAACATATTTTTTTTTTTGCCTTTCCTTATCAGCGCCCGGGTTCCATGCATCTAATGTTGCCTAAAAGATTAATTTTGGGTGTCATTTGACGGACATATAATTTAAAAATTTCTGGGTATAACAATTCTCTTTTTTCCAAGCCATTACCCATTAAATGTAAATTTGAATCACAGCTATCTTGGAAATCTCAGTAAAATTAATGGCATAATTAACTTTCCACGTCTTTACGTGCTCTGATTCAAAGAACCCATGGTATTATTAATGAATTCATTGCTAGATAATGAAACAACGTTGTGTGGAAAAGTGTTTTCTGTCTACTTATTTTGCTAAATCCAGCCTCACATATTCATTTGTGATTGATCTTAAGACGGTTCGTCCACATGATTGAAAACTGGGCGAACAGTTAAAAAACATTCTGAAACTCTGCCGAATCTCGATCGCAACTTTGTCACAATATTTACGCAGTTGGTAATACAAGTACCGTTTGTTTCCACATGCTTCTCTTCGCTCCTTTTAAATGTTTAGCTAATCTGAGATCTTAATTACAGTGCGTCTTACCTGTACCAGTCGAGCCCCTTGTCGTAGTGCCGGTCGAAGAAGTGCGGCTCCGCTCCCACCGCCCTGATGTCGGGATGCACCCGCAGAAACTCCAGCAGCGCCCGCGTGCCTCCCTTCTTCACCCCGATGATGATCGCCTGGGGCAGCTTTTTGCTGCCCGACCCGTTGGAGAAGCTTGACATGGCACTCGCTTCGGGGCCCCTCTGCTCGTCCTTCATTTCGTCCCAGTCTCCGGCTCTGTCCGAGTCCACTTCGTTATCCAGCAGGTCTCTGGAGGGCGTCCTCACTGACGGCTCGTCGTAATCGGATTCCAGGTCTACCCAGCTTTGGGTTTTGGGTATCAGCTTGGACACCAGGTCCGCCCTGGCGCTCTCTGTCCTTCTACCAGCGGATTCCGTCTCCCTTACCCGGTAAGAGTCTATTACACTTGGCACAGTGGCGCAATAACCCACGCAGGAATATAACATGTAGACCCACAATAAAAGCATGATGCCCATCAGTAAGAGTTTCTTTTTCACGGGGATGAATGGAATCGCATGCAGATGGCTGAATGTCTGGCTATATTCCATAAGCCTCACGTGCGCCGGTCATAATCCATGGAGACATATTGGCAAAGTTTATTCCAGGTTGCGCTTCGACATTCCTCGCGAATAATATGAATCTCGTCGGCAAGATGAAGAAAATATGAAAAAAATTAAATTAATAACAAAAGTATTGCGGTCAGCATCTTGTCGGCTGCAAATTCAGCGTGGCGGCGTTTTTCTGCCGCTGGTGAAAGAAAAGGGGCGAAAAGTGAAAGACGTTAAATGTTAAAGCGGTGCCGTTCAGTGCCGCCCCGGAGTCCTGCGCTCACTTCGGCTGCACATCCCTCTTGCCGGGCCCGTGAGCTACTGCGAGCGCTGAGTGTCGAACTGAATACTGGCCCCTTATACAGCGCCAGATGCGCGCAACTGACAGCGGCGTCGGCCAATCGCAGGCGAGCGGCGCAAATTTCACAGCTTGTTGACAAAAGCGACCCAATCGTAGGGGTTGCGAGGCGGGGCCTGCGCTGTGATTGACGTGAAGCCGAAGTTCTTTGACGCTCCTATTGGATAAAAAAAAAGCATTAAACCGGATTCCCTTTATTTATCAGATTTGGAAAATCCGAAACGCTATTTTAAGCGTGTTTGTGGGGAAAGTGACATTTACTCGGCAGTAATTATTTTTAAATTAATATTAATTTAATTTATTTTCAGAAATGATGTGGCACCTGGACATGTAGATCATTACGGATCAACGACTGCTGTCCCCTAACAAGATAAAAGCTGCAATTTGGCACTGCAAACTTGGGACTTTTTCCATTATTTATTAAATGCAATTTAATCATATCTTTCAGAACGAATTGGTGTTATACATAGACCTATAGTAGTATAGAAATATTACATAGTAAATTATAAGAAGATTAATTGGTTTTGCTTAGTATAATTATTTATATACTCACAAAAACGCGCTATTTTTTTTTTTCGTCAAAGGCTAAAAGCTGTTCTACTATATTTATTTTTGTGGTTGACAGATATATTATTTTCCCCAGCCGGCAGCTTAATTTCATCCGTGAATTTGAAGTGTGAAATAATTATAGGTTATACGTACGCCGAGGCGTTCTGTTTTCATTTTCCTGTCTGCTTTTCTCCCCTCTTTATTGTAAAATGTACAAACAAAAAGCTGAACATCCCGATGTTTTCGCCGCATCGCCGTGAACGTGTAAGCGCCCCTCTTATCCCGCAAAGCTATGCAAACGAGCGCCTTTAATTAAGTGCCGTTAAAGGACTTTTAATGTGCACTGGGCCGCTGCTAATGCAGGTACACAGCGCGGCTCATTCAGAAAGCCCATTCCCAGGAAGCGCTTCCCGCTTCGCAACTTTTTCCTTTTTTCTCATTTAATTTCTGAAAGAGGGACATTTCCCAATTTAACTAATACTTGTAGTGGCATCACTCAGACGTATGTAATTCCTTTATACATATTTTACGTTATTTAAAACTTTTGTGTTATTTAAAACTTAGTTGAGAGACTACTTATCACCATTACCGTTACTACTGCAATAAAAATGTAAAAATACAAAACATTTCACGCCGTAAAATTTCGTTGTTTCAGCCGCGTCGATGTAATCAAGTTCAGCACACTCTCAAAACTTCATTAGGAAGGGTTTTCTCTCCTGAATTATCACCCGAATTTAAATATTAATCCGTTCTGCACCTGTTATTTAAAATTGTTTTCACTTAATTTAGAGTCTTTTACATATGTGTTTTCCTGGTACTAGACAAAAAGTAATGTACGAACTTACATGTGTTGTTTCAACCGTACATAAAAGCAAGTTTAAAAACATTCAAAGTGCAATAGAGGATGCCTTATATCAATCTCTCAATTACTGACCATTGCTCACAAGCCCAAACACTTACTCATCCATCTTATTAAACTAAATAAACAAATGCGTCCCGCTATCTCTGACAGGCGAAAACCTGGGAGATTCGTACACATAAAGGCGCGAAACATGAATGCAGTTTCACTGATAAACTGTCTTTTCTTGTAATTTCTAAAATCTAGATATGATTTAAATGAATTAATTACACTTAATTATATTAGCTTTATCATAAATTATACTATCTTATACTAGTTACCGCTGACAGTGGAATTTTAACTACGACACCAACAAATTCAACGGCATTTCATTTCAGTAAAATGCCCCAAATGCAATGTTCACGAGGTTAACATAAGTCTATTTTTGTCATTCACGTGTTTGTGGGGTTTTTAATCCGTTCTATGAGAGATTCATTCCATATATGTCGGTGTATTGCAATGTCTTAGATATATAAGACTTTTGGGTGGACCACTTCCGAATTGTACAATTTTAGCTAAATTACAAAACGGTTATTAAATGCAGGCCTAACTATTAATAAGAGACCGCAAAGCCACACTGCCCCGGAAATAGCCGTTTTAACCAGAAGCATAATTTATGCGACCACATTAAGAGGGAACATTAGAAGAATAAGGGGGGGTGGGGGGGAAATACGGGACATAATTATTCGACCGAAAGAGCACATTTTTCTACACGTTTATAATGCGTGGGGTGTGGAGTTCACCTAAAATAATGAAAAAGGTCTTCGTGAAATATGAGAGTATTAAAAAGGAACTCGACTTCTGTCTGTTCTCCTTCATAAAGGAAAGAACCGTCTGTGGACGTAAATCCCGTATCACACACTAAACAGCGCTCACCTCGCATGGACCACGTCGCTGTTTGAGACAAATTCATATCTGCTAGCCATTAAATCAGAGAATCACGCCAGCGCCCCGGTTTACGATGAAAAACAGATTTATAAAGCACACCAACCACAGCAACTACTAGTAGGTTACTGCAGTAATAATGATAATAATGATAATAATAATAATAATAATAATAATAATAATATGAAGAAGAAGAAGCTAATTCGGTAATTATCATTCTGGTTGTGTAAGAGTTTAAAACATAACGTGCAAATTTCGCGTTATCCAGACTTAAGACATTCGGTACCAGAAAACAGGTCTTCAAGCGCGTAAGTTTCTGCTTCCCAGTAGATGATTTACCGGTATGAGTCAGAGCTTTTCACGCGGTTGTTTATATAGGAATAATCTGTGAAGTTTAATCTCTTTAAGTCTGAACGCGATCCAAATGCAATTGTGTCATTACCCCGTTATATGCGGGACTGCAGCGGGGTAAGTGCCCGGGGGCATCGCCACGCACTCCGGCGTATGAAGGGCAGCTAATCTCCGCTAATGACCTCCGACAGGCCGCTAGATGCACACATATAAGCGAAAAGAACAAGGTGTGAGGGGCCTCTTAGACTATATGTGGCATTTATGTCTAAATTGATTGAACTCGATTAAGGTTGGTTTCATTTCCGGGCCGCACCTTTCCAAAAAGAAATACACGCCGGATAAATCCATAATAAAGCAGAAGGGGAGCACGCATCCTCGCCTGGCCTCGGAGGGAGGCGACCCGAAACGGCCCGTCGCCGCCCTGCATCGGAGGGGCACTGGGATCGTCAGGGGGCGCCGAGATGCCGGGGAGGGTGTGTTCTCTGTACGTCCCCAATTTGTTTTAAAATTAATTACTTCCCGCTTTCCTAGATTGACTGTGGCCCGTTCATTAGAAACAACAAGGTATCGGTACGGGGACAGCGGAGGTCGGTAACCCAGGTATTATTTTTAGCGTCACTGAGCTGATATTTAATATAATTAATTTACACTGGATTTAAGACGTCCTTCCCACTTTCATGACACTTTCCCCAACTCTGGAATTTACCAATTTACTGTTTATAACAAATGATGATGCACTGAACAAATAACAGTCGCTCTTAATGGAATTCCCATGCATCGATCGAGGTTTCAACTATTTAAATATATCTTTAAGCGCTAACAGGTGTTCAACACATTTTGCGTTCAAGATAAAGGGGAAAAAAGAGGAGATTCGTGCCCGAAAGCGGCCGCTTTTTCCATCACTGGCCCACAGATGCTGGCGGCCGCGTACATTAAAGTCGGGGCGTCGTGGGTGTTGATTTCGCTATGGGGAACTTCAAGTCCTCACCTGCATCTACCGTGGATCACAGATTAGTCGATTTGCGTGATTTTGTATGGGGGAGGGTCCGATTTTTAAACATGAATAACATTTTGGTCTAACGAAATAAGACATAGCTACAATACTCACAGAGTAACTCAGAAACGAAGAATGGGGAAATTGCCGTAAAAGTGGTCAGGAACACGAGCTATACATGGGCTTGCAATGACTTAACAGAAGCGACAGTCAGGGTCACTCCTGGCTGGACTTACCAGTAAAGTTTGGACCCAAAAGTGGCCTGCCGGGGAAGCAGTAACGGAGCATCCGGATGACGGGAAACATCCAGAACCATCTCAGAAGGCCACATCGTGGAGTGTTGCGGAGACGCAAGGAGACTAGACAGGTCGAGGCAGGGAGGGGGGAAAGAAATGGGCCGGGGGGGGTGGGTGTCCATGTTCACAGCCACCCAGATGGAGCGGATGCTGAAAGACCCTGGCTGCCGCCGATATCTGATACACACTTAACCCCCCCCCTCCAACAGCTGGACCGCTCCCTATAACTACCCCCCCCTAAACATGACCCCCATAGCAGCAAAAATACCAGTGCCACTTCATAAAAAGGGGTGGGGGGCATGATAACAGACCGGCAGACAGAATGTCCCCTGGGGGGGGGGGCATGGCAACACACTGGCAGGCAGAATGGCCCGAGGGGGGCATGACTGTAGGACAGAGGTTGTCGTGGTTACAGACAGCCGGCTAGGTGGCAAATGCCGATTAAGGAAAGAGTAACCAGCCACGGTGAAACCCAACCCTAACCCAGGCGGGAGGGGGCTGAGCTAAAATGGGGACTTACAAGTGCAAATCAGATGGTGGGGGGGCACATCCTCTGGAGAAAACAGTATTAGCCAAGTAACTGAAAACAATGTAAAACGATAAACTACACATCCTTGGATGGAGAAATGTTTTATAAATGATCAGACGGCGTTAAACCCAGAAACCCAGAAACACACCAAGACAGGAGGCGAGGGAGACCAGCGCTGGTTCTTTATTGGTGTGGTACAGGGCTGCCATCCACATACAGTATGTCAGAGCGCAGAATCGCGTAACAGCAGCGGTGATGTCGCATCACATCACAGCACAGCACTAGAAACTAGGCTTTCCTAGAGAACTGAGGAGTTTACAAGCCGGCCAGGACTGAGACAGAGATCGGCACACATTCGTTTAGCTCTGTAAATAAACATCAAGCAGCCAGCCGGCTGTATGCATCACTAGTGTGTGAATAAATTAATGCGCGGGTGGCCGTGTGCATACACACGCATAAACACACACACGCACGCTCGAGTGCACACACAAACACACACACGCACATAGAAATGATTGATTACAAGATCCCTGAAATCATAACATTTTGAGTTACTCTTGTTAAAGCGGTTCCCAATTGTCACTATCCTCCAATCCAGATGTGCGAGGGGGGGGGGGGATGGGGGAGTGACAGGCAGGGCCAAGGGTTAACTGTCCTGGACCTGGCCCCCCACCGTGGTCTGGGCCCCCCCATGCTCGCCACGTGGCTTCTTGCAGGTGATGAGGAGGAGGAGGAGCATGGGCAGGTGCCAGAGGCTGCAGAAGAAGAGGCGCCGTGCGCTGGCGCGTTCTCCGTCCCGCTGGAAACGTAGCGCCAGGTAGCCGATGTACAGGTTGATGGGCAGCGAGATGAGCGGAAAGGTCCAGGTAGAGAGGCCCAGAGGGGGCGCCAGAGCGCTGAGGCCCATCAGGGCCAGGCTGTGTCGCAGGGCCACGCGCCGACACAGCGCCGGGTGTGTCACCGACATCATGCGGTATCCGCCCCGGGAATAATCCTCACGCAGGTTCCAGCTCAGCGAGTTGAAGTGGGGGAATTGCCATGAGTACAGGAACGCCCCCAGGAGGAGGGCACCTGCAGCGGAGGGGGACAGAAAACAGCAGAAATTAGGGCTGAACAAGCAATGGAATATTTATTACATTTACGATTTTGGCTTCTGACGATTCTCAAAACAAAATCGCGATAAAACAATTATTGTGCCACATTTCATTTCGCAGTGATGCCCCTGTTTTGTCTTGTGTTATAAATCCAGTGCACCCCTTTCCAGACCCTTTCCTGTTTCTCAGCGGAATTTTTAAAGTTCAAGGAAATCTGCTAAAAGGACAAGTTTTTTATTTGGTTAAATGCATGGTATTTCAAAAATCAATGAGTAATCATGCTAAACAATCATGATTTCAATACTGACCAAAATAATCGTGATTATGATTTTATCCATAATCGAACAGCCCGCATAAAGTGTCACATACGGACTGACAGAGATAGAGAGAGACAGTGAGAGAGAGAAAGACAAAGAGACTGACTGACATCAACTGAGAGAAAGAAAGAAAGAACAGCCAAGACAGACAGACAGAGAGACAGACAGAGAGAGAGANTGTAGGACAGAGGTTGTCGTGGTTACAGACAGCCGGCTAGGTGGCAAATGCCGATTAAGGAAAGAGTAACCAGCCACGGTGAAACCAAACCCTAACCCAGGCGGGAGGGGGCTGAGCTAAAATGGGGACTTACAAGTGCAAATCAGATGGTGGGGGGGCACATCCTCTGGAGAAAACAGTATTAGCCAAGTAACTGAAAACAATGTAAAACGATGAACTACACATCCTTGGATGGAGAAATGTTTTATAAATGATCAGACGGCGTTAAACCCAGAAACCCAGAAACACACCAAGACAGGAGGCGAGGGAGACCAGCGCTGGTTCTTTATTGGTGTGGTACAGGGCTGCCATCCACATACAGTATGTCAGAGCGCAGAATCGCGTAACAGCAGCGGTGATGTCGCATCACATCACAGCACAGCACTAGAAACTAGGCTTTCCTAGAGAACTGAGGAGTTTACAAGCCGGCCAGGACTGAGACAGAGATCGGCACACATTCGTTTAGCTCTGTAAATAAACATCAAGCAGCCAGCCGGCTGTATGCATCACTAGTGTGTGAATAAATTAATGCGCGGGTGGCCGTGTGCATACACACGCATAAACACACACACGCACGCTCGAGTGCACACACAAACACACACACGCACATAGAAATGATTGATTACAAGATCCCTGAAATCATAACATTTTGAGTTACTCTTGTTAAAGCGGTTCCCAATTGTCACTATCCTCCAATCCAGATGTGCGAGGGGGGGGGGGGATGGGGGAGTGACAGGCAGGGCCAAGGGTTAACTGTCCTGGACCTGGCCCCCCACCGTGGTCTGGGCCCCCCCATGCTCGCCACGTGGCTTCTTGCAGGTGATGAGGAGGAGGAGGAGCATGGGCAGGTGCCAGAGGCTGCAGAAGAAGAGGCGCCGTGCGCTGGCGCGTTCTCCGTCCCGCTGGAAACGTAGCGCCAGGTAGCCGATGTACAGGTTGATGGGCAGCGAGATGAGCGGAAAGGTCCAGGTAGAGAGGCCCAGAGGGGGCGCCAGAGCGCTGAGGCCCATCAGGGCCAGGCTGTGTCGCAGGGCCACGCGCCGACACAGCGCCGGGTGTGTCACCGACATCATGCGGTATCCGCCCCGGGAATAATCCTCACGCAGGTTCCAGCTCAGCGAGTTGAAGTGGGGGAATTGCCATGAGTACAGGAACGCCCCCAGGAGGAGGGCACCTGCAGCGGAGGGGGACAGAAAACAGCAGAAATTAGGGCTGAACAAGCAATGGAATATTTATTACATTTACGATTTTGGCTTCTGACGATTCTCAAAACAAAATCGCGATAAAACAATTATTGTGCCACATTTCATTTCGCAGTGATGCCCCTGTTTTGTCTTGTGTTATAAATCCAGTGCACCCCTTTCCAGACCCTTTCCTGTTTCTCAGCGGAATTTTTAAAGTTCAAGGAAATCTGCTAAAAGGACAAGTTTTTTATTTGGTTAAATGCATGGTATTTCAAAAATCAATGAGTAATCATGCTAAACAATCATGATTTCAATACTGACCAAAATAATCGTGATTATGATTTTATCCATAATCGAACAGCCCGCATAAAGTGTCACATACGGACTGACAGAGATAGAGAGAGACAGTGAGAGAGAGAAAGACAAAGAGACTGACTGACATCAACTGAGAGAAAGAAAGAAAGAACAGCCAAGACAGACAGACAGAGAGACAGACAGAGAGAGAGACTGGGGAGAAACAGAGAGAGAAAGATGAAGACAGACAGACACAGAGAAACAGACAGACTGATAGAGAGAAACAAACAGACAGACAAGACTGATAGAGAGAAACAGACAGACAGACAGACAGACTAACAGGCAGACAGAGGCGGGGGGCAGCTGTTGGACCCTTGGGCCAGGTGCTTAACTGGATTCTTCAGTAAATATCCGGCAATAAAACCACGAGAAACATGAAGCTGCGCCTCACCCCGTGTAAACATAACAACGCTATCATTTACTGGCAGCTGACACGCCACGTTAGCGTGGCTGATGGGAGTTTGGGCCGGCACCTGCCTGCTCATGGCAGCTTGTACCAGCGAGCAGAACCCGGGCCGCTTAGGTGGAGGGCAGCCAGCTGTGGCCAGGGAGATAGGTATAGGCAGACAAAGGTACTGGGAATTTGCCAGGAAAGTGTTTTGGTCATGCAGCGCGTCAGGCATTTCCTCAGCGATCCAGCCTGGTGGAGGAAGGCAAGGCGCTAT